GCCCTTTATATTGTTATCAGCGACATGTGGCTTTGCAGATGTGGTTGGAATCCAAGTCCTATCAGCCTCAACCAGCATGGCCATTGGTCAGGGTTGAGGACCAGGGCAGGACATACATTAGCTGAAGCCTTCTCATAGATTTAGAGCATTGAAATACATTAGGAGCAGTAACATGTATGGGCGAGGAAGTTCTACTGACAATGTTATTGATAGAGGCTGAGTTTGGAAATGTGACATAAATTGTTGATTGGGATAATTCGTGTGACTTTTTAAGCTCATTTCTGAGATAGTTCCTTGTTCCAGCAAATGAGCAAGTCAGTTGTGCTTGCAAACACAATTTCTGGCACAAATAGTAGATGTAAGTACATTGGACCTTGGCTACAGTCCCAAGTCCCTTGCATACACAAGGGCTCGCTGTTCTCTCCCTTGAAGGGAAGCAGTCTGTGTGAAATGCAGCAGCAGTTCTCTGTGAACAGAAATGAGTGAGGAAGTCTCAATGTAGCTGTATATATGCTGATAAGACCTGCTGGATGATTGATCACAGCCTTACTTTTTCGAATCCAACACAATCTGAGTTAAGCCAGTACTGGTCACACTCTGACCTATGATTTATAGTTCACCACACATATACAACCACCTTGGTTATTTGTTACAGGATGCCAATGATTAACTTTAGAAGAGCCCCGCTGAGATCTGACCAAAGATCTTGCTGCCAGTAAGTCGAAACTTTTAAGACTCCCTTAAAGCATCAGACATAGCTTCAGTTTCTGATGTAGGCCTTTAACCTAAGAAGGCTGCCCCAAATTACAGGAGGTGAAAAGGAAATAAGAGAATATGGCAGAAATTCCAAGCCAGATTCTAAGGCAATCAATGAGAGTGTGACGGCTGAAATGGTGATGTAGTTAATTTTCTGGAAAAAACAACAAATGACTGTGCTCACTGAGAAAATGTGGGCAGGGGTAGTGGTACAGGAAAGTGGATTTTAAAAAGTGAGTGTGTTCTTAAGAATAACATTAATAACTTGAAGAACTGCGCCTGAGGGAATAATCTTAAGATCAAAGAGGATGCTAGACTATGATGAGGTGCTGAACCAGCACCATTTTGCAAGGGTGCTTGGTGGAACAACTCACAGATATATCAGAAGATAAACTGCTTACCTGTCATGTTCTTAGTTTGTGGTGGCCTCCACTGATGAAAGCTACAAAACCAAAACACTTCATGTTATCTAGAACATGAGCTCTCATACCAGGGTCTTGCTGTACTCTTGGAGGCATATTGAGAAGGCTTCCTCATGTGGTGGATGCTGAAGGACATGGTGGCTGTCCATGGTCATTTCTCTACGGGTTCCTCCTTATAGGTATTGCCATTTTCCTGAACTGGTATATCAGTGGCAGTGATGCTTTTCTGTTACAGGCTGGGCTTTCTGTTTCGCCTGCTCACATTTCCCAAACCACCTCACAGGAAGGTGTGTTGAATTTTTCAACTTTCAAATTGCAAACAATGAGGGGTGCTAAAAAGTTTGCAACATGACTTGGGCATTCAAAAGATATTTTGGTTACATTAATATAATGGTAGTTTTGCTTGGTAAATATGTATGTAAAATTGCATTGAAATAATTAAAAATGATTGCCAAGTACAGTGGTACCTCGGGTTACAGACGCTTCAGGTTACAGATGCTTGGGTTAAGAACAGAAATCGCGTGGCGGTGGCGACGCGGCGGCAGCAGGAGGCCCCATTAGCTAAAGTGGTACCTCAGGTTAAGAACAGTTTCAGGTTAAGAACGGACCTCCAGAACGAATTGAGTTCTTAACCTGAAGTACCACTGTACTTGCAGTCGTATTATATATTATTTTTTCATTTATATATTATACATATTTTATATTACCTGACACTTTCAAAAGGTAAAATTAAAATTATTTGTTTCTCCAAGAATAGTTTATGTGCTTCTTCATCAAATGTCGACTTACCAAGCTAAATGTTGTCTATTCACAAAAAAGCAGATTTGAATTCCTTACCCCCCTAACATATTTTTAATACCTCTCACTGAAGATATTTGCAAAAATTAAGATCCACCCCCTAAAATGACATGCTCTGACCTCACACTGTTAGGAAAGTTGCCTATGCAAGCAAGCACTCAGGCAGACAGAGGCAACCAGCCCAGGTCATGTGCTCCTCCATTCATGTGTTGCACAATGGTGCTGCACTGCAGCATTGGAGCAGGCAGTGAGCAGGAAGCAGGAAGCAGAGAAGCCAGTGAGTAAAGTTAGAAGGGAGATCTACATATACCACGTGGCCTGCCCTGCACCCTCTTAAGCTAGCCTGCTACTGTACTCTCAAATCCTGTGGAGGACTCTCTCTTGTCAGCAGTGCTGAAATAAGACCAAATTGCCTCGATGGCAGATGGGAGGTGGAACACCTTTGCTCCAAGCGGCAAAATATATTGGGCCAGCTCAGATCATATTCTGTTAAGTAACAGAAAGGATGGAGATGAAATTTGGGATTCAACCACCTTTTACTGTATGGCTTTATGCCAGTTTACTAATGACATTTGCATCTCACTGCCATTCAGCTCCCACAGTACAATTTTCACTTCACTCACTCAATTTCACTTTCACTTCACTCACCTGGCAAAGTGGGTTTGTCCATGAAAGCATAAGCAATTTGCTTTATTGTTTTTATTTATTTCATAAAATTATACACCGCTTGACTGTAAATAACCTCATTAGTCTTTTGCTTGTACAAATTGTTAAATCTCCAAAGTGCCACAAAACTTTGTGCTGCTTTGGCTGCAAGATAGTAATAAGATAGTAACCCCTTTAGAATTTGTTTTACCTAAGAAAGCTTAATGAAACTGGACTGTTAGGGATACTTTACTTTACTTACATGGTTTAAATGAGAGAAACGGATGGCTATTTATAAAATAGTGTTATTTTCTGAAATGTATTATGAAGAAATGAGTCAAGGATTTTCAGCAAAATTACGCAAAATGTTACATCATCTTTCTGCTTTCAGTGCCATGGAGTTTGATAAGTTCAAACACTTGTCTCAAATAGTGAATCTTCCTCTTTATCAGTATCTTGAATTGAGGCACATTTTGTTCATTTCTACAGAAGTTTATTGTTCACTGGACTCTTCTGCAATATTGGTTAGAAGTGCACAATGTTGCCACTAAATTAGTATTGTAATATAGTACATCAGTACTGATGGGGAAACTTCTATAAAATTACAATGAAACAATTGCTTTTAAATGAATGCAGCCACTGATTATGCAAAATGCAACCACCACCACCTCAATGTGGGTGGTGACACATAAAACAATGAAATTGGAGTTTCTGCAGATATTTCATCCTGTGATAAATATCCAGGTTGAAGTTTGAAAAATACATTTTTTTGTGGGGGTGCACACAAACACAAAGTTTAAATCATAAAACAAATAAATGCTGAATATTTCCATTCTGATTTTATTAGATCCTCTTTTATATTGTTCTATTTTTCTATTTTCTGGATCAGTGGAAATAATAATTAATAATAATTAATAATAATTTATTATTTATACCCCGCCCATTCCCAGCCACTCTGGGCAGCTTCCAACAAAAGATTAAAAATACATTAAAACATCATCATTAAAAACTTCCTTAAACAGGGCTGCCTTCAGATGTCTTCTAAACGTCGGATAGTTGTTTATCTCTTTGCATCTGATGGGAGGGCGTTCCACAGGGCGGGCACCACTGCCATGAAGGCCCTCTGCCTAGTTCCCTGTGACTTCGCTTCTCGCAGTGAGGGAACCGCCAGAAGGCCCTTGGCGCTGCACCTCAGTGTCCGGGTTGAACGACGGGGGTGGAGACGCTCCTTCAGGTATACTGGGCTGAGTCCTTTTAGGGCTTTAAAGGTCAGCACCAACACTTTGAATTGTGCTCGGAAACATACTGGGAGCCAATGTAGGTCTTTCAAGACAGGTGTTATGTGGTCTTGGCGGCCACTCCCAGTCACCAGTCTAGCTGCCACAATCTGAATTAGTTGTAGTTTCCGGGTCACCTTCAAAGGTAGCCCCACGTAGAGCGTGTTGCAGTAGTCCAAGCTGGAGATAACTAGAACATGCACCACTCTGGCGAGACAGTCCGCAGGCAGGTAGGGTCTCAGCCTGTGTACCAGATGGAGCTGGTAGACAGCTGCCCTGGACACAGAATTGACCTGCGCCTCTATGGACAGCTGTGAGTCCAAACTGACTCCCAAGCTGCACACCTGCTCCTTCAGGGGAACAGTTGCCCCATTCAGGGCCAAGGAGTCCCCCAAACCCACCTGCCCTATGTCCCCCCAAAACAGTACTTCTGTCTTGTCAGGATTCAACCTCAATCCATTAGCCGCCATCCATCCTTCAACCGCCTCCAGGCACTCACACAGGACCTTCACCACCTTCACTGGTTCTGATTTGAAAGAGAGGTAGAGCTGAGTATCATCTGCATACTGATGAACACCCAGCCCAAACCCCCTAATGATCTCTCCCAGCGGCTTCATATAGATGTTAAAAAGCATGGTAAAGAGTATGCTGTTGCCAAAAGCTGTGTACTTGATATGCTATGATGTAATTTTTTGGCTTGACTTTTAAAGCTGAATTTATGTTTTGCATATCTTCTGTTGTATCCAATAAACTACTTTGATAAACATAGTTAAAAAGGTGTGGTGGTGGTGGTGGTGGAAGGAACCATAATAGGAGATGAAGTGCGTGAAACAACTATATCCCAGTCTCAAGAAGGCTGATCTCTAAATCACCAACATAAAAATAACCATATTCATGGCACCATGCTCTTATGAGCTTTGTAAAATTTAAGGCACAGTCAACTAAGTAGTGTGCTGGTGGAAGTGTTTATATAAGGCTGAAAGAGCGTTTTATCTTGCCGGTTGAGAGCTTTCAAAAGGAAACCATCAAAGGAAGTTGGAAGAGAAGTGAAACGGAAGAGAGCATAAGATCAGAAAAAAGCAAAACTGTGAGGCATCTAATATAAGGTTTTTGAATTTCTGGGCTTTATGAGAAAGAAGTTCTTATACAAACTGAAGTTCTTATACAAACTGAAGTTCTTATACAAACTGAAGTTCTGTGAATATGTAATTAATTGTAAACTGTTACAAGTGGGAACTGCAAACAGCTTGCAAAGTCATACATGACTTAGGACTCAAGGAGAACCCAGCGTAGAACTAGCCAGCCTGAGTTTTGTGATCTGCAGGGACTGCTTCGCTTGTGTTGTCCTCAGGCAATATGGCTCAGGGGGACATTGCAAGGCTATGGAACTCCTTCCCTGAAGAGATCAAATTGTCTTCCACACTACCATATGTTCAGTAAGACTTAGCTGTTGCAGCAGGCCACTAGAACATAATAGAAGTGACATCATTTGTACAATGTAATGTTGATTTTTTTTGTATGTTGTATTGTAGTTCTACTCTTGCTTTTAATGCTTTTTAATAATGTTAACAATTATTAATAATAACTAATGTTGCTACATGGACTGCTCCTGTTCAAAACTCTCCATTCCATTCCATTTCCCCCAAACAGGTTTCCATATTTCTCCCCAATGTACAGTGAGCATTCCATGACTACTGAGCATACATCATTCTTTCTCATTGAACTGTACTCTGGGTTCCTCTGAGCCTGCTGATAACCCCACTTCTTGTATGTAGGTGGTGTCCTTTTGGCTACATAAGAGTGATACTCACAGCCTGAAGCTTGAAAATAGAAGTACCGTAACTATGAGAACATCTGGTTTAAGGCAGCCCAGCCACCACTTTCTGCTGGAGGATTAAGCAGAACAAAAATTGATCGCTCATTAGATTTGTCTTGCATTTGATATGCAGTTTGGATTTGAAGTTCAAGCACTTAGTTTCCCAGAAATAAAAAGTGTAGCTGTATGAGCAGTGAAACAACCCGGTGCAAAGAGCAGTGTTAAATTCCATATCAAGAATATATTACAATCATAAAAACAAAGTAAACTTGAACCACCAACATCAAGATGCATATCCCCCCACCCCCCCCAGAAAAAGAATGTTTAACTCATTCCTTTAGATTCTGCTTGAGGAAATGAAAATGAAAAGAAAATGAACAGGGAAAATGAAAATGAAATTACCAGAGTCACAACGAGCACAAGGGGATATATTATAAAGCAAACTTTGATGAATCATTTTAGGGAAAAGGTTGAAAGGCAGATTTTTTTGGGGGTGGAGGAATGAAAACTCAACTGAGCGACATAAAGGCATTGAAAGGCCAGGACAAAATCAGTTAGTGGGAACAAGGGGATACAGGAAGCCCTGCTTAGGCTTAATAATACTGAGGCTAGGTAGATGAATTAGTAGAGAAAGAAAGGTTGCATTTTCCTAGAGTGTCAGAATCAAGTATTGATCACAATCATCAAAAAGATGTTCTATTTATTAAAATTATTATTATTATTCTGTTAAGAATTTTGCTTTGTAAGTGGTGAATAATGGGTATGTGTGTTGTGGATTTGGTGGTGTGAGGGTTGCCTGTGGTTTGAGACTGGAGGCACAGTGTGTGTGTGTATTGTCACTGTGGTTGTAGACCACAGTGTCATGTGTCTGCGGTTGCCACAACATGCACTGAACTGAATAATTTGAATATTAAATGTTTATAAGTGGGACCTGCAACAAAATATTAAAGTATGGAGGGTTCCTGTTCAGTATTCCAGTAGGCCATGCTGTCCTCCACGATACTCTACTCCATTATCGCTCCATTTTCCATTCCTTCCCCAGTTAGTCAACATTTTGTGATCACTGAGCATTTTGAATTCTTATTGGACTGGGGTGCCTTTTGGGGGCGGGGAGGGTCCCTGTAGGCTTTTGTCCCCTAAATATTTTTTGTATTTATGTAAAGCCTTCTTTTGTACATAGATATGACAGTGGTTCCTCCTTTATGTCAAATGCAAGAGGACCACCAAGACAACTGACTTGGTAATCAAATTATTGTCATATACCCTGAACCAGGTTAACTCAGCCTTTTTTGGGGGGAAAGGGACTATCATTGTACCAATTCCACGATATAACGCTCTAAATATTAAGATCAATATATTCAAACTTATTAGACTTCTTAATTTCAGAAAGGTCTGAATTAGGTCTGAATCCAGATATATCCCAACTATTAACAATCCCAGTATTACTAATTTTGGAAGAGTAGTATTATGGGATACAGCACAACCTATCCCTTCATGAGAAGGCTATAATTCAGATACAGTAAGTAAACCAGCAAATAAGTGTGGAACAGCAGTCATTTTGAATGGAATCCACTTCAGAAATAACAATATGCGGATATATGTATGTGAAATACTGTAGATGCCTGTCTTGGCTGCAAAAGGAGAGACAGAATGAGGTCTTAACTCACATCAAATTCTGCACAGGTCTTAGAGAAGATTTCACACACACACACACACACACACGGTGAAAGTAGAGAAAGTTCTCTGTACATTCAACCTCTCCTACTTTACCTGGTAAGCTATTGTTATCTTCACTTTTAAGACGAAGTGTGGAAGCCCTTAGTGTCCAGCAGTCTGTTATTACTCAGGTCCACCAGTTGAGCCTGCAGAAAAACAAAACAAACAAAACAAATGCTACAAACTGGGACGGCAATTCAAACCCTGGCCAGGCTTAATGGAGTGGATGGGTGGGTCACTGCTGCATCTGCAGCCCTGCGTCTTACACCGCTCAGTGCAAGAGGACAGGCAAATCGTTTTGCCAACTTGGAGTTAGTGTAGCAATGGACCCAATGTTGGGGATTCAGTGGACTGTGGATAGCTCAACCCCTCAGTGTTTCGGGGCTTTCTGTGGCCTACCTACTAGTGCGGATTCTCCCGGCTGCACTTCCTAGGAGGATGGAGCGAAATATTTTGCAGTACTAGTGCCAGGGGCTTAGCCAAGAGGGGGCAGGGGGGCAGCTGACCCCCATTAATAAAAAGAATAACTGTGGTTTTGTCCCCCCCAAAAACAAAAATCCTATGTCCATGACTAGTGCAGTAATGCTGGTGCGGAGGAAATTTTACTTGCAGCCTAAAACCCAAGTGCTAGAAAACACTTCCAAACACATTCTAAGCGAGACCTACCCAAAGACATCCAGGTGCTACAGCTGTCAAGCCTTTGTGGAGGCGAATTCCCATCAGGAAAAGTATTGCACTGAAGACTTAATAGGCAAGGTGTTTCATGTTCATCCCCATCCTCAGTGCTAATAATAGATGTGTGGGCACAAGCGGCTCCAACAAGCACAGAAACAGCCTTATTATATATCTTCTTCCTCATCAAAATGTTGATTGCACTCATCAAAGGCCATAACAACATTCGTAACATCAACGGACACAGCAATCACAACCCAATCTGGTGAAAACGTTTTTGTTACAAGTTAAAATAGAGTTAAAATAGAGGGGAGTCACATATAGTTTGTGCGTGTTAGATCCTCCGAATCTCTTTTACAATGAACGGATAATATATCCAAATTATTCCCCTTATACTACTCTAGGGCAAAGTGAAGTGGCAAGTGCTGGGGAGCAGCACAGGTGATGCAGGACCTTGCTGCCTACGTATGCCAGGTAACCAGAGACAATCCTGCTGCTGCCTCAGGTGCAGTGGGAGAAATCTCTTTTCCAGGCTCGAAGCGAAGCCCACTCCGTGTCAGTGCACGGAAATGCGAGGTGTGCTGCATCCACACTGCCCTTCACCTCAGGCAGAAGAAAGGTTTTGAACCGCTCGGATTGCGCGGGGAGAGGCCAGAGAGCTTCAGGGGAGAATGACCCAAGGCTTTGCTCGAAGGGCGTCCCGTGTGAACCCCAGCACATTCCCGTGCGCCCCTTCTCCAGCAGGGAGGGCTTCGACCCTTACTCCCCCTTCAGCAGCGCATTCCCCCCCCCCACGGCTTCGACGGGCGCCTCTCCCAAGATGGCGCCGGCCCCTCCCCTCGGCTCTCTCTTGGGAAATCGAGCTGGGGCGGGATGCCGCCGAGGCTCGTCCTCCTCGCCGCTTGGAGGCCGGCCCAGGGTGTTGTGTGTGAGAGAGCGTGTGTGTGTGTGAACGCGCACGAGCGGCGGGCGGGGCAGCGGCGGCGGCGGCGGCAGTAGCCCGACTAGCAACGGCGGCTGAAGGAAACCGAGGGAGAGCGAGAAGCAACAAGCTGCGGACCTGGGAAGCGGAGCGAAGGGAGGGCGCGCTTCGGTTTCTCAGTAAGCGGCGCGCTCGGGTCGGGGGGGCGCGGGGAGAGAGCAGCCTGCCGTCCCCCTTCGGGGCGAAGCCGAGAGCCGGCGGAGGTGGTGCGGAGGAAACTTTCTCCTCCCGGTCCCTGGCGGATCCGCGGCCATGTTGGGATCCCGTCTGTTCTGGGGAGCGAGGACGGCGGCGGTGTGGGGAAGGGGGAAGAAGGAGGCGCCCCACAAAGACCCGGACGGCGTCCCTTGACTTAGGGGCGGCCCCGCGGAACCTCCCGCCGGAGGAAAGGCGGCTCCAGCTTTGCCCATTGGGAGCCGGCGTCCCAGGCGCCGTGTGTTTGTGTTTGCGGTGGGTTTCGGGCGCGCCCTGACTCCGTCGCGCACAAGCGGCGGCACACGACTTGGCACCGATGGGGGACCCCTGCCTGGCAGCAGCAAAGGGCGGCTGCGGGAGAGGAGGAGGAGGGGACGTGGCGGCCTCCCAGAGTCTTAAAATTTAAACCGGTTCCCCTTTTAAGTGACACTTTCCGAAAGTAGTGGTAGCCGAAGCTCCTTTCCCCCTCAAACTCTGGCAAAAGTGAGAAGCGGCCGCCCCCCTTCTGCGTTCAGTGTGGGGCTGAGATCAAGCGGCTGCAGCCTAATTGGCACCCCGTGGATGCCTGTGTGTGCAGGGGGGAGTGTGCGCACCTCCCACTCCTCAGCATGCCATTGATTTGGGGTAAAACGAGGCGTATGTGGTCTCCCCCCCCCCTCAGTAAACAAAACGGAAATCATTTCCCACTTCTCCAGAGAAAATCGACTTCCCGCTCAGTTCTCTTTTATTCTCGCACTGGAATAGTAGTGTTTCGTTTTGTTTTTTAAAATACCATATTTATGAGATTTATTTTTTATTGGGTTGCGGGGGGTCTCTTTGCTTTTAAAGGCTGCCTGTCAAAAGTTGCGTGCGTTGCGTTTCCCTTCTTTCCCGGGCGAGTTTCGTGATGGTGCGTGATTGTTTTGCATCAGAAGGCAGGGAACTTCCTGTGACTGTCAACAAGGGTTAGCAAAGCAAGTGGATTCCGGTTGGAAGGAAGTTAGCTCTCCTAAGTTTTCTTCTGATAGGCTGGGCTTGGCTGAGATGTTGTTCATGCCAGTGGTTTTTTGTTTTAAGTTTCTAATGCCATGGCATCCTGGAGAGGGTGCCAACTTTCTGTTAGCTGCTACAGAAGTAAGAAGGGCTGGTTCTTTTCTTGTGTTACCTGTCTGCATTTGGGATTTCATTTGCTTATTTATTTAGAGAACCCATACCTGCTTTTCCCTTAAAAGAGCACTCAGTGCAGCTTGTGAAAATTGCTATCGACAACACAGACAAGTCTAACACTTAAAAATGAGGCAAACAGTTTTATAGGTGTAAAGTCACACAGTGCTAAACATGGCTTTTAAACAATAATGATTGTGATAAGTCTATTGAAGTGGTAAGTCAATTGAAGTGATTTAAAGCCTTTTCCCCACATTATTCAGATTTTATAAAAAAATTGCTTTCTGTTATCAGGTAAGATAAATATATTACCTGAAAATATTTTTTTTCTGCTGTTGTAACTTACATTGGAATATATTGGTCCAGTCAGCTACTGTTTCTTATATTGATGGCCATGAGACCTAACAGTTTCAAACTAGCCAGTACATTTTCTTTTTCCATATTTACATTCAGATGACCTTGTTTTTTTATTTGCATAAATATTTTGCAGTGCAGTCTTACACCTCCTCCCAGATCAGCTGATTAGAGAGGGTTAGGAAGGAGGGGAGGCACCTCCACTGGTGGAGAAGAACCTGGCTGATAGAGGACTGTTGAGACCCCTCCTATGCATGCAGATGGCTCCATGTGCATAGAACTTCAGTTGGTGGTTCTTTTCTCCTTTTTTGCCGGTGGTGGTTCTTCTGCCAACAGTAGCTGGCATTAGGCCCTAAAGTGGGATGACCCGGGGCAGGGATGGGACAGGGGCAGCCCTGGATCTGATAGATTCAAGGTCCCTTTTTTCCAGGTCAGAATGCTCCATCCTCCCTGAAACTGGCTTAACTAATTCCTTCCGTGTAGGAATATAGAAGGGGGAATTTAAAGAGAAAAGTTGTGTGAAGCAAAAGAAGCAGCAGCAAGTTCCCTTCACCTTCTGGACTGGCCAGCACAAGCTGGCAGGGCTTCAGAAGTAATAGTAGGTGCACCACTCAGTGATGTGGGGGCAGTGATGTGCTTTATTTTTCTGCAGAAAACTGTTTCATCCATTCTTCAGTAACAATGACTGTCAGTGTCCCTTCCAGCTCTACAATTCTATGGTTCTATGCATTAGTTAGCTGTGACTTATATTTCTCCAGGGTTGGTTTCATATAGCATTGGGTGATTGTCTTTTGGCCCCCTAGCAGTTGTGCAGTTGTCCCTAGTGTCGTGTAACATATATATGAAGCCATGGGAATGGTTATTAGGAGATTTGGGGTGAGCTGTCATCAGTATGCTAATGATCCCCAGCTCTACTTCTCTGTAACATCTGAACCAGGAGAGGCCATGTAAGCCCGGGAGTGGTGCCTGGACTTGGTGGATGAAGGCCAACAAACTGACTGAATCCTGGCAAGACAGAAGTGCTGTGGATGGGTGATTCCTGAGTCCAGAGAATTTGTCTTCCCTAAATGGAGTCGTATTCCCCCTGAAAGAGTAGTTATGGGAGTGTTACTGGGTGCATCTTTGCCTCAAGAGGCCCAGGTGACCTAGGTGGCTAGGAGTTCCTTTCACCAGCTTCAGCCATCCCTGAATCAGGATAGTCTGAGCACTGTCATCCATGCACTTGTAACCTCCAGATTGGATTACTGCAAAGTACTGCAGGTGGAACTGCCCTTGAGGTTGGTCTGAAAGTTTCAACTAATGCAAAATATGACAGCTACAGGGTATCTCCACCATGCTACACCACTGCTGAAGTAATTGCAATGACTGCCAGTTAGCTACTGGACTACTTTCAAAGTGTCAATTTTGGTGTTTAAAGCTATATATCATATTGGCCTGAATATAAGCCCCACTTTCCCCCCAAATTCCAACCGTGAAAAGTTAAAGTACGGCTTATATTTCCAACCTTATGGTATTGCAGCCAGGAGCACAGGGCAAACAGCGCCAGGAGTGCGGCCTCTCCCCCAAGGCCGGGAAGGGAGAGAGCAAGGAAGGGGAAAGGCTGCCGGCAACACAGTGCAGTCCCCCCCAGTATGTAGCCAGGAGCAGCGAGGAATGGAGCGATTTATATTTGGGTATTTTTTATTTTTTCTTTCCCCCCTCCAGTTTTAAAGGTGCGGCTTATATTCGGGCCAATATGGTACAGCTTGGGACAGGATTGTCTCATTCCTTATATAGTCACTGTGCTCTTTAGTTGAGGGCCTCCTGCAAATACCATGTTATCTTTTTTAAAAAAATAATAATTTTTTATTAATTTTCCAAACAAATATACAATCTTATCCAAATTTTCACAAATTTAACCCTGTTTGGACTTCCTTCAGCTTCTCTGACAATCATCCGTATTTACCTCTCAATTACGCATTTCTTCTGTTTTTTATTGCCATTAGTCTTCCCTCCCACTATCTATTTCTTTTAGACAATATATCTCAACTTTCACAGTGCTTCTTTAAATCCCACTAGCGTTGTTTGCACATCACATATACTTTTCAGATATTCAGCAAATTTTCCCCAGTCCTCGATGAACTTTTGGTCTCGAAGATATCTAATTTTCCCAGTTTGTCCAATTCTGCGTAGTCTGTCAATTTCATTCTCCATTCTTCTATCGTCGGTATTTCCTCTTCTTTCCATTTCTGGGCCAGTAGAATTCTTGCTGCTGTAACTGCATATTGGAAAAGTTTGAAGTCCTTTCTTCTTATTTCCTTTCCTGTAATCCCTAAAAGAAAGGCCTCTGGTTTCTTTACAAATGTATGTTTTAACATCTTTTTCATTTCATTATATATCATCTCCCAGAAACCCTTCACTTACTTACAGTCCCACCACATATGGTAAAACGTTCCTTCTTTTTCTTTACATTTCCAACACTTATTACATGTCTTATACATTTTTGCTAATTTTACCGGTGTGATATACCATCTATAAAACATTTTCATAACATTTTCCTTTAACGCCGTACAAGCAGTAAATCTTAAATTTTCCTTCCATAGTTTTCCCCAATCATCAAATTGTATATTATAACCAAAATCTCTGGCCTATGCAAATACCATGTTATCAGGAGGTCCATTCCACACTGTATAGGAATTGGGCCTCTAGAACTGTGGCACCTGCCCCTTGGAATGTCCTCCCATTAAATAATTGGTGGCACTTTGGTTGGCTTTTTGGCACCTCCTGAATTCCTTCCTTTTAAGCAGGACTTTCCCCCAGTCTGCAACTTTATTGGAATTGTTTTTATATGTTTTTATTGCTGGTGTACTTGCTGCTCTCAGCTCCTTTGGGTAGGACAGGCAGGATATAAATTTAATACAGTAAATACTTCTGTTCATAGTTCAGCAGTGAAATGCTGAATGCTTGCCAATTCATCTGTGGAAGGAAATATATCCAGTTCACTTCATAACGTACAC